TCCCATTTTATCAGAAGGGTGAATTGTCTGAAGAGATTCTCTTCAGATTGTGTCTATCACGATTGACGCGGATTACTCTTGCGATCCATTCCAACCAACAAGCCGGGCATTTCGTGCTTTTCTCTTACTCAGGTATATGATGTTCTATGTTGTGCTGTACGGAAGTGAAGTGAAGTGGTTGGAACCCATTTTCCTCTCGTTGCGCACTTTGTATTCCATATGGATTTTTTGCCTTCTAACTTAGGAACTTTTGTTCTATAAATTTCAGTTGGATCGAGCCCACGCAGAACTTGTGCGCCATCAAGAACGGTTTACTAGACAGCACATCGGCTCCGGACAGTCAGACCCGAGTGCGAATGACGGAACGCTTTCTTCTTATACCGGACCTAAATCTATGGCGGAGCTGTTTCAGGTCTCTTTGTCCGAACGTCGCCAGTTGTCTTCGGATATGCAACGCAATCGTGCACCCTCCACCGATGCAACAGGCTCGTCCATCAAACCTATAAATCAAACCGTCCCAACCGCTACCACGTCTGTTACTGCAACTGATTCTGTCAACTCTGCGGATGGTCATGATCGATCGAAACAGGTTTCTGAGAATTTACCAACCGGATTCTCTTTAAGCGATATTCCGTTACCTGAAGAGTCATCGAGTGAGCCACGAACACACGTATCCACTTCTTGTTCCGAAAATGTGGAGGTTCCACCAAATGGAGAAAACGGTGAAGAAGAGTTTGAAGTCTTGGATGAATATGAGGAGACAGGTGATGCAAAAAACACGTTCACTTCGACCATTACTGCTCCATTGACTTATCCAACACCAGTTACTACTACTGCCGGTACTGCTGATTATGTGCCCATGCCGGTCGTCGCGTACAGCATGATGCAACCACAGTTTATACCGGCGCCAAGCTTTTCCGCTGTGCCAGCGGTTGTACCCGATACAGTCTCGGCTTCACCATCCACCTCCATTAGCGGTTTTGTAAATTCCACTACTGCAATACCTCCTTACCCCACTCCATACGCTATCCCTTATGGTTATGGTTGCTTGCCAAGTTCGTCTTTCACTCAGGTCATTCAGGCACCTCCTCCACCGGCGCCATACACACCACTTACAGGTGCTGTTACCTGTACTGCCTCGATTTCCTCATCTTACACGCTTCCCGTCGAAGCAACTCCCCCACAGTCTACGTCCAAGGCCTATGTTCCACATGCATTGCATCCACCGACGGATCCACCTCCACCCTATCGACCTTACATTCCCACGCGGTGTGAAACCGAGCAACAGTCCACTGTTGAACCTTCTTCCGTCCTGTCCCCCCGAACATCGCGTGACATTAGATCGGATAGCAGCTCGTCTCGTCATTCCGGATCTTCTTCCCGACGAGCGCCTATCCAATCGCCCTCCTCACCAGTGCGTCGATCTATTACAAGTTCCACAGCTTCACGTCCAGAGTCCGAGAGACATTCACGTGGTAGTCGCCGCAACCCAGATAAACAGTTCCGCTCACCACCACACCGTGCACGTAGTCCACATGCTCTCCCACATCCACTCGAGCATTATCAGCGTTGTCTCGTTACAGCTCTTAGTTCGGATGAAGATCGCCCCGGTGAATCTTCTGAACCAGTGTGGTCCGATGATATTGTGCTCAAACAAGCGTCACATGTTGCACGTGTAAACACTGATGATTTGCTACATCGTCCAGATTCTGAGGATTTAGACGCACGAATCGCTCGATTGATCGGAACGGCAGCTCGTACAAACCCACTGCCCAAACAGCCCAATAGCACTGCGGTCTTGTCAGAAATTCGAAAGCCAAGTAATCCTCTGGGTTCTCCTCCTCCTCCACCCCCACCACCACCTACATCCCAACGTATTTTGTTTACACATCGACCACCTCCAAATTCTTCCCTCCGATCGTCTTATCCCATACCCCAACGACATCCGAATAATTCTGTGTACAGTTCCGGTTCGAAAGAACGCATGCACACTTCTAGCGCTCGACGCTCTATTCCGCCACACACCCCCGATTCTCCACCAGTTCGTCGAACCTCAGACGTCGATCATCGCCTAAACCTGCTTGGTGCGGTTCGTACTGATCGAAACGAGGCTCACCTGAGCAGTAATTTCAGAAAACCACATGTTTCACGTCCTTCTGATGACGCTAACGTTCTTGGCTCATCTATACCACCGATTCGTAATACTACCACAGATTATGTGGACCGCCCCACAGAGCCAGCCCGTACCCCAAGCGGATCAAAGGGTCTAAATGTGTCCGGATTCGATACGAACGTCCCCTCGCATCAGGACGCATCTTCATCCACCAGGTCATCTAGGTCCAATCGAGACGAAGATCGCGAAATCTACTCAATGCTTGGGGTCTGAACGAATTGAAGAAAAACACTTGTTTTCTTTCCCCCTGCCCCCCCCCCAAAAAAAAATAATTGTGTCTCACGATTCAGTGAACCAATGTTCAATCCACGTTGTGGCTTCTCCACGTGTTTCTGTCCGGACAGTGTACTCTTACTTAATCTCCCTCAAATCTCTCTTTTATCGCCTCATTCGACTGTAGCATGGCACACATTGGTTTTCCCCCTATATATCCTCCCCCCCGCGTGCCATGCGATTGAGCATCCATGTGCGTCACGTTCTCCTTTTTAACGTCCTTGGCCTGACCCCACCCTATCCATCCATTGCCCCCAAAACCATCACTTGCAAAATTATGTTCCTTTTTCTAGCACCATTGCATAATTTTGCCGATTGTACATGAATTCAGTGCTTGAGAGCTCGACATGGTATACATGTAGTATTGCTTCAGGGCTTGGGTCTTGAGTGGGCTGAAATAAAGTGCTCACTCAGGTGAAAGAAATGGTGTTTTCTTGTTTCGTTTTTCACGGTTGCCTCTCGTTAATGCGTGCCTAATCATTTGACACATTGGTTGGAGACCACACACACATCACTAAACCGCTGAAAGCTAACTGTTTAGGGAAACTCTTGAGGATACAATCCGGTGATTTGTGGATTACCTGCTATTTAGGTTCGACTCTTCCACTCAGTTGACGTTCTTAACCGTCTCAGTATGGTGAACAGCTTGAGTAATAAATCTCATAAGCACCGGGACCTATAGACAAGCCGATGTCTCCGGTGATTTATATTTATACTTTCACACGTCTGTGTTTCAAACAACTCACGGTACAATTATCTTCATAAAGAAATAAAAGGGTTTATGATCTGCTCGAGGGCGTGATACTGTAAAACTGTCCAGGCAGGCCAATTTTTTAGTTAGTTAATAACCGGAACCTTCGGTTAACCAAAGCCTGACTCGCAAGAGCGGGGCGGTGTGTGTGTGTGCGTGCGTGTATGTCAAAACCGCATTCCATTTTGGGGCCTGGTCCAGTCCAGCGGATCATACGTCCTTTGATAGGGGTCAAACGTCCAAGGTGCCAAATACATTTCGATGCACAGTGGAGCCGGTGACCCCTGTCACAGCCAAGGTGTAAGTGTGATTCGTACGCCTCCCCCTGGTTGGTTTGAAATCAGGGATTTTAACCAACTACCCAAGTGGAACTGCCAGTATTTCAACAACCCGGATATCAGCTTTTTGTCCTCTCACTGCGAACCATGGGAACGCAGTGAGTAGAGCTTCCTCAGCAGAAGCTTGGTGTTATGGGAGCATTTCGCGAGTTTCAAAGGAAGGCTTACTAACCGCAATTGTAGACACCCACCCCCGACCATACTGAGGATTTCGGAGGCGTATTATACCGTACAGCGATGATGATGATGACTCCATGATCTCAGCTTCCGTTCGCGTATTTGCAGCTTCGACTAACAGAGTTTCAGTCATCGTGTATGGTGTTTATCCTTCTTTTGAAGTTTATTGTTCATTGTATATTACCCAGTGCCTTGGGCTAAGGTGCTAAAACGTAAATATTGATCTTGGACAATCGTCGGCGTTGGCCTCAGAACTTTCAGGCTGCCGGTCTGGGAATACCCTTGGTGTGTTATTGAGACTCCACCGAAAAAAACGCATAAAACCTAGCCATGCAATCAAGATACACAACCGACCTTGCTTGAAATGCAGAGCACTGATCTCATGCAATGTTTCAACATAAAAAAGCCCATCAAAGCTATTTGACAAATGATTCACTTTTGTTCTGAGTCATGCATGGTAGGAATTGGCGGAGCCGTGGTGTGTTCGATCGCTTTCTTGCTCCCGCTGAGCTAATTCCAGTGTTTTAGGATGTGGTGTGTTTGACTATGAATGTCATCCCCGCTTTTCGTGAGAAATTTTCGAAAGGATTGTGGATATTTCAACTGCAGGTTATTGCTCTATCTGCCGGCTGATGTAGTCTGCCTTGCTTCCCCCATCCAAATGGAAGAAGCTGTCTCCACTAGATCGAGTTGTCAATCAGGACAGGAGACAGTTGGACACAATCGTTGTTGTACATTTGAAGAGCACTTCCAGTAATCGGGATCACCTGACAGTTTTCTCTTGTGACAGCAAGTCATGCATTGATCTCTGGGCGCGGTCCCGGTACTGCACACGAGTTCGCTTTCATTCCGACCGAAGTGTACGTTTCCTATCCCTGTTAAATACTACTATACTTTCGGGTCTTGCTTTCAAAGCCACCAATCCACTCAAATAAGGATTATGGTGCCAGGATTCGTTTGGCACAGTCCGGATTCTGACCCGTGTAAATTATACACCCACATATAATGATTTATCGTTTATTTTAGTCCATTTTCAGAACAATCATCCAATTTTTCAGGAAGGAGGACTCGGCGAATCAAAGGGCTCCCACCCAACACATAGTGGATGAGTAAGATGGGGCGGCGGTGGTGGTGAGATTCGAACACACGTCCGCTTGACCACCGTTGACAGTGGTTGTCATAGAATTGTGTGGTTGTCTGTGTGATTCTATAAAACTTGCTAGTGATATTTGTCCCAAGCGAATTCTACCAAAAGATGAGCGATGTGAGCACAAGAGGAAGCGCACACACCATTTCCGTCCTCAGTTCGTCAAGAGCATGGTCACAGAAATCGATTACATTTGTCACGTTTATGTTGCAGCTACTTGTTAGTAGCTCGTCAATATTCGATAATTCACGTATTGTAGTCGGCCACTCGCTTGTCCTGGGGAACGGGAACGAAATACAGTCGATCGATTGATCGAAAATGTGCACATGATTGTGTGAGTCCACTAGAGCGAAGTATTTGCATATCCAAAGGGAAGATGCACATGAGCGTTGAAATCAGCACAAATTCGATCCACCTGGAGGCATTGCAGTCCAATCATAAGTCGATTCTGTTTTTTTCTAAGTAGCTGTAAAATAAAATAAATACTTCATTTCTCTTTGTTGCGCATACAATCGAATATCAGAAAGCGAGCTACGGTCGAACAAAGGCCTCCTCGGGAAATACGGAAAAGGGGGTAGCAGATGAGCGGCTTTGATACGGTTCGAACTCGGAACTTTTGAGTCTCTGTTTTGGTGAACTTGATCACTGTATCACGCTTAACTGGCACGTTTCCTGCCCGCTGTGATTCGTTTCAGTATTTGCACAAAAAAGCTTGGCACTCTCCACGGCGAAGTGATTTTTGATTTTCTTGTGAGAATGACGCTCAGTGATAATTACCAATGCTACCGACAGATAGGGCACAAAAAGATTACCAGCGAGAAGAGCATTCTCGTCGGAGTGATCCTTCATTTCATCTGAGTACAATGATTTATGTATAACAAGGAGAGAACTTTTGCAGTGTCTTTCCGAGGATTTTCCGGGTAGCCGGCGACCGATTGACAATGCAGTATGAATCGATTTCTGACCAATTACTCGTACGTTTGTTGAATTGTTCTTCTGAAAAAGATAAATTCCCTATAGGTCCCAATAGACTAGTGATAAAAACGATCGCAAGACTCAAAATCAAATTATTCTAGTATTTCCTTCAAAGTTTTCTCTGATCTATTCACCGCATCAGTCACAAACTTGTACGTTGACAAATACATGACAAATCGAGGTGTAGAGTGTGCAGCAGTCGGCTCCGCTGTTCTGTGTAAGAGGGTTATACACACTAACTCTTTCGGGAACATACGCGATTCATCCCTATGATTGTGTTCTCGTTTACATCCGCCGTAGAGACATAACAGACCAATTCTGAGCTGTCCATAATGCCTTCAGTAAGCAATGATAACGCACAGACCACTTATCCCTCCTTTCCAAAAAACGGTTGCCTGTCCAAATAAAATGATACAATCCCGCTAAAACTACTCTATACCGATTTTTCTTTCAGTTTTAGAATGTTGGTTTTTTAATCTTACGGAGATGTTATGGTCACACGTAACCGTACATAGTTTAAAAATAGGGGCCTCATCATTTAATATGATTCAGTTCATGGCTGAGTTCTGAGGATTAAGCTCCAGTCTTCCACCCTCGAAAACATCCAATCCAGGCGCAGACTCGCACCCCACTATTGTAGAGCCCAATTCAATTTCGCTTCACAGATCATCGCGATATTGAAGTCAGACACACAACAATGTGCAGAGCGTAATCAACCATCTGATCGATCGTGTTCATTTCGGAAGTCCGTTTCTAAACACACTACACACAAAAGCCAGATCGGTATCTGAATGCACACACCGAACCTTCCAGCACATCCAATCTCAAGGTCACGCCTGGGACTGTTGGCAGTGTCGGTATGTAGTAATTGTAGTAACAGTAGGACACAGTGATCACGAATTAGAAATCACGGGCGCAACGTTAGCACTGGTTCACACTGAGACTAGCACGCCATATCCCACGTAACCCAGACGCGAGGAAAAGGCCACAGGAGTAATAGTTCGTTCATTGAAAGAAGTCAGGAGGATTAAATAATATGAAGAAAACAAGATCATTGGTCATCCGGGTCTCTGCCAATCGCGTGATAGTATTTCTGCCGTTGTTCAGCTTCTGTCTGAACCGCACGGTTTCTGATTGGTTGGTACAATCGATCTATGGTTTGTAGTCTAAAAGCTGTGACGCGGTTTGCTGACGTCACCCGTGAGGCTTGAATGATCACAGTTGTCCGAAAATAAACGAGTCGGTTCGTGGTGTGCGTCATTCCGTAGGCTCAGATCACCTCACGGTAGCGCATCCTGTATGATATCAAGAAATGGTGCCGTTATTGCCAGACCAAGTCATCAAATCTTATCTAATATCATCCCACATCATTATTCACAAGTAACTCAACTCAACCATCAACCGGAGGACTCAGCGAACACCGGTCGGCAATCAAGGAAGCGATCCAAATTTCAATCAAAACAACGGTGAACTCTGGCGCACGATGAAAGCAAAAACGATGGAGCTCCTCAACCTCGGTTGCCCTGATGGACGCTCGCAAAGCCATGACGAT